AACATGTAATTATTAATTATATTAACAATAAAATTCTTTAGAGCTAACATAGTCCTATTTTGAAAGGAAAAAAAACATATCACTAATATTTTCTAAAATATTTGAATATGTACTATCAACAATCGTTATTAGACGGCATTAAGCAAGTCATGTGGATATGGTGAAAATAGGTCAGATCAATTAATTAGAGCTTACGGCCAAGTCTATATAGGCCAGACTTTTTTTTAAGTAGAAAATATCTAAACTTTTTATAAGTTTATTTAGTTAAATAGGTCAAGTCATAAGGCCATAAAAAATTCTTTTAAATCTATTAGGTCGGCATGTTTCAATAAATCTATTATTTTTTAATTTTCTTATATTTTATATTAAAATATAAAAGTAAAATTTAGTTATCTTTAAGAACTTGTTATAAATAAGTTAAAAACAGTTTACGAATAATGTCATAAGTTGTTTTCACAAGTTCTTCTAAACAAATAATCTCACAAAACTTATACTTCTACGTAAGCTCAAATAAGTTTATGTTAATAAACATTTAGTGTCATTGTACTTTTTATTTACATATGTTCAAATGATATAGGCTTTTTGAGTAACTATATCAGGCTTTCGAAATGGTCAGACTCAGGCCGAAAAATGAGCCTCTGGTAGGCCATAGATCAGGCATAAGCTTTTATTATCTGAGAATTTTTTACCCGGCCCCTTGGGGTTCTTAGGCACCATGTGCGCTTCCAAAAATACTCTCTACTTCCGGAGATGTATCTCCGAACGCACTTTTTTTTTACTTAACGTTGGTTTTTTTCGGAGCTACATCTACAAAATGTTTTCGTTTATATACCTCCGGAACAAATCAGAATACATTCGCGCCAGAGTCCCTTCTCCTTCGTCATTCTTCATTTTTCAACTTCTTCACTCTCAAACTCTCCAAACTCTCTCAATCCTCGAAAAAAAAATTTTCACCAAACTTATTTGTTTTCAATCAAGTTCGACAAGGAGCATTCATCTCAACGATCAAGACACTCTAAATCACTCAAAGCTCGATATAATCGGTAAGTTTTCGAGTTTTCAAGGTATTTTCGAGTATTTTCCGTAAATGAGTTAGAATATAGTTTTAGGGATATAAATCGTTAGATAGTTTTAGAAACATAGTTTAAAGACAATGTAGGTATTGATTGTTGGCTGAAACAGACGATCAGGGCTTCAAAAAAATCAATTTTCATGGGTAGGGGATGTCAGTGTTATGGCTATTAGAGTTGCAGGAAGTTTCGGAGCTACATCTACGGAACAAATTAACATTAGGACAATTCTGTAGATGCAGCTCCGGAACAAATCAAACTTTCTGAATTTTGGGTTCTTCTGTAGATACATATACGGAAGTTTTCCGCATGTTTACATTCGAAAGAAGAAAAAAAAGGTTAGTTTTTTATTTTTTATTTTTTAATTTATTTATATCTAATTGTTTTTTCTTTGTTATACCTTGCAGACATTATGGCAGACAGAGAAGATATATTGCGACTTGGACGGGTTTCACAGCATGCATCTGTGAGGCGCGAGCAGAGCCAATCCACTGTTATCGAGGTCGATACAGTTGAGGCACATCTTTCTTCATCACATGCCCAGGACATTTCTTCGACCTCGTATCCCACCCCATCATCCACTTCTTCATCCGAAGGCGTCGGGATTTAGTTGAGGGTTCATCATAGGCTTCGTCCTCCCGCATGCCTCGTCGCGATACTCTTGGTTCTCCTTCTGCCGATGATTTTGTGCCACCTCAAAGAGTGATGACCCACCATTGGAGGATGCTGGTGACGACGACGACGATGATGAGCCTGAGGGTTTCCTAGGGGGTCCCTCAGATATGTCCCTACTGATAGGGTACGCTGACCATACTGCCAGACATGTTTGGGATGGAAAGGTAACATTACTCATATTGTTTCTTTTTTTTCATTGGAAATTTATAATTTGCACCATTATTTCTTATTAACATTGTTTCATGTTTATGGAAATTTCCAGACTTGTCAGCCGTAGAAGTTCTATAACCACGGGCGGAAGATATTATCTTTGGAGTAGCCACAGGAGGCTTAGTTATAGGATGTCCTTGTCGCCTCTGGTTTGAAGGACCTTTGTGAGATCGGTTATAGCGTGATCCATAACGGGATGCTGATGGGCTTTCCGGAGAGATGGCACCCTGAGACTTCCTCCTTCCATCTACCGCACGGCGAGCTCACGATCACACTAGAAGACATCTCCTGTCTGCCTACCGATCAGGGGTACCCTCCTCCGTCACGGTAGGATGACGAAGGAGGATGTGAGAGAGATGTTGGTCGAGGAGCTTGGGGCTGATCCACTGGATGTGCTGGAGTAGGTTGATAAGACTGGAGGGGCTCATGTCAGGTTCTCCATTCTCACCCATATATTTGGTGAGGCGCTCGTTGTTGCACGACAGGCAGATGGTGATCCGGTTGAGGTTGAGATGCACAGGCAGTGTGTGTTGAGATGTTATTTTCTATTTTTAGTCGGCACTCAGCTGTTTGTAGACACTTCCTCCGAATGTTGCTTACCTAAGGTACTTTTTTGATTCCACGCAGATTCATGAGTACAACTGGGGGCGGCTACCATGGCTTACATGTATTCGAGACTAGGAGAGGGGTGTCTGTGGAAGACCAGGACTAAGGCAGGAAGCGTGGCACTACTTGTGGTAACAATCTTATATCCTTCGAATTTTTTTTCATTTCTTTTCATTCTATATTCGAAATAATGCTTGATCCTGATGTTTTTATTTTCATTTCAGGCTTGGATATTCCCACTTTCCCATGATCGTCGGGTGGAGGAGCGTGTCTGATTACACAGAGCAAATGTCGCGTGTCCGTGCCTTTCTCCTGCTAAGGATGAACCAGGCGGTCGACCCTTATAAAGTCTATCTCGATCGCCTGGCTGCTAAGGACATTTGATACGACGTTTATGCTGATCACCGTGTGACGCGCCCGTTTGACGACATCTCCCTATTCTCAGGATGGTTGGCATGCAGTTTGACCATCATTGTTCCATATTTGCCCGAGCGTGTCATGCGACAGTTCGGCTACACTCAAACCATTCCCAGACACTCAGTTGTCTCCGCTCCTCTCGGCTTGACCCGTATGTAGATAGAGAAGATATATGTCGACTACCAGAGGTACATGGTACTTGACGGGGCTCGAGCGACCAGAGCACCGATAGACTAGAGCTGCGTTGATGGTTATATCATGTGATTCTTCATCGTCTCACACCCCTACATGGTGCCCACTGCCGAAGGATCACCATCCAGACCAGCTCATCAGGAGATCTTAGAGGAGCAGCAGTCTCAGTTGGACCACACTCAGATTGTCTCGCTGTCGTCAGGTAGTGGAGATGGGGCGGGTAGGCATTGTCGTTGGTTTCTTCCCTGAGGAGTTTGACCACAGGCGTGTGTTGCATGACATGATTGCGGTGGCAACAGGGGCACTTATGTATCGCAGGCATCGCGCCAAGACGGGTGGGATCGATGGTCGAGGACGTCGATCGAGCGGTAGAGGAGGCAGGAGAGGCAGACGAGACGAAAGAGGCATAGGCGGATGTATGTTATTTTATATTCATCTGTAACAGGTAATTTCAATCTGCGACCAACAGAACTTGATTTTTTTTTAAATTTGTTCTTATAAGATTTCGGAGATGCATCTCCAGAACTTTTTCCGCAAATACACCTCCGGAAGTATCCAGCGTAAAAAAAAAAGTGCGTCCGAATACATATCTCCGAAAGCAGGGGGCATAAAAAAAATTTCGCTAAGTGTCTAAAAGTATCAAGGGTTAGATTAAAAAATTCTCTATTATTTTAGCAGATCAAACACAGATTTAACAAAGGCTAACTCGGCCAAGCCTATTTCCATCCTTACATGAGTAATATTAAGTGTGATATCTAGGTCATTGCACTCTCCAATTGCATCGTCGTCAATGTCCAAAACCCACTCAAAAAATGCTTCATATCCTCGTTATCTGAATTTGAATCACCGCTTAAAAGCCACATACTCTTGATCAATTTTGAGAACTTCACATAAATTCTAGCATAGCGTGCCCAACTTCTTGTCTTATTCTTTTGGGTATAAGAAACAGAGTTTTGTCAAAAATTCCCCACAATACCACAATTTTCCCATTAAATAAATTGTTCAAATTATATTACCGAAGAATGTTTCTAATCGTTCGATGAACACCTTCAAATAATGTTTATGCATCCAATGTTTGTACATCATTTGCACTTCATCTGATATGATTGGTCTTACTGTTGCTATCAAATATGCTAAAGTTAATCATGTTTTATGTTATTTCAAACTTTTACTTTATAAAGTTTACTTATAATTTATTACAGAGTGAGTATTTCGATAATACATATTGTCCTCCTAAATTTGAAATTGTTGTGCCAGTTCATATATTCCAAATTTCCTCTTAAATGAGGATGGCATCAGTAATCCTTTCTAAACCAATTTCCAAAAAATATTAAGGTGAACAACCTCGTAAACTGAAATTTTGTTTAATTACTCTTTTTTTTTCAGGTCAAAAAATTAGTAATCCTTTGTTTAATTAATTTCCAAAATGTGATATTCTCAAAACGAGACACTCTTTGAAACCATATCATCATAATGTAGGATTAACGAAGCATTTTCGAATAACAATACGATCTGGAAAGCATTCTCAAAATATGACACTCTTTGAAACAATGGTTTGAACAATACATCACAATGACTCAAAACAAGAGAAAACTCGTACCTAAGCTTAATTTCGTAGACATATATACCCAGAAAAGTATTCCCTACTATAAGAAAGTTAATATCAGACTGATAATGTGTGATCTTCGGTAGATATCAGACTATGACCAAAACACAAATAATAATGACAATGATGATTAAAGAAAAAGGTTGTAATGTAATTCATCATATCTTTTGCTCTATTAGTTTGTACCTCCTTGAAGTATCTCAGTTCTGAAAGTTTGCATAAAATCACCTTCTCCACTGAGGTTGTGTCAACTTATCTGAAATTGATAAAATATACACTAACACATTGAGCAAATAGGAGTAACCTAATAATATCTTATTTGATGCGTGTAAATGTAAGTATTAATCAATCGGTGAATGAAAACTTTGAAAAGGTACAGAGAAATGGCGAAAGTTCTAAATGCATACCAGTCCCATCCCTTGAAGATGAAAGAGATTTATCAGTCCTCGCAACTCCTCTGCTGCTCAAACTTACCAGCTTTTCTGCTCTCGGGGAAAATGAACCTGACTTGCTGTTAAACGAGGATGAAAGTGAATGCCTCCGGGTTAAACTGTTTTTGTCTAGAAAATCGGTAGCAAATCTAGGGGAGCCTTGTCCCCTTAGCCTAGCTTTTGCTGATTCAGTAGGAGCCATATAACTCGGCAGTCTTGGAGTGTTATGTAACTCATTCTCTTGATCATTAAAATTAGCAGGTAGTGACGCTCTTCTTTGGTAATTGTTGCTGATAATTTTGTCACCACCATTTAGGTCTTCGCTAACTCCTACTTTAACATCTCCTACATTCTTCACACTAGTCTGTAAAACAGCAGTAGGATCATTATGAGCTTTCTCTTCTAGTGCTTTCTGACCAAGAACTTTCTCTTCTTTCACACCACCATTTAAGCTCTTTTTTGGCTTATCATTAATATCTTCTAGTGCTTTCTGTCCATGACCTTTCTCTTCTTTCACACCACCATTTAAGCTCTTCTTTGGCTTATCATTATAATCTTCTAGTGCTTTCTGTCCAAGACCGTTCTCTTCTTTCGCATCACCATTTAAGCTCATTTTTGGCATATCATTATTATCTTCTGGTGCTTTCTGTCCAAGACCTTTCTGTTCTATGGTACCGCCATTTATGCTCTTCTTCGGCTTATCATTATTCTCTTCTAGTGCTTTCTTTCCAAGACCTTTCTCGGGGTAAGATTCTTCAGACTTCGGCACTGTTATCACTTTCCTTTTCTCAGAAGAGGAATTTGGCCCCTGCTCTGAAACATCGGCAACAGTGTGATCTGAAATTGGCCTAGAGCTGTGTTTTCTTTTCTCGCTAACAATCTCAGATCTGTCTGAAACATTCTGCATACGAGTTTTTTTTATACTGCTTTTCTCAATTTCTTTCCTTGGGTGTTCGTGTTCCTGAGCTGAAATCAATGAGTGATTTGAATCCTTTTTTAGACCTTGTTTCTGTTTGTTAGAACCTGAAGTTGAGCCGTCATTGGCTTTCACAGTAGGAGATTTCCGAGCATTCCTTTTAACTTGTCCTTTTTCAACTGTTTGAGAACTGATATTTTTTTCAACAGATGCCAAATCATGTTTCTTCTTCAATTTAGGAAGAGGTGCCCAAAAGTGTGACCTAGTCCATCGGTCAAGCCAGTTTTCCGCCAAGTAAGGTTCTGCAAGATTGCTACTGAGAGATAGAGGAAAAGCAGGGGACGATGAAGCCAGCAGCTGAAATGGATATCATACATTATGAGCTTTTCTCGGTCAAAATTACATCTGACACAATTTAGTTTCAAAACATTAACACTAACTAAACAGAACAACTATGGGAAAAAAATCAGGCACTCAAAGTCAAAGCTTTGTTGTACCATTAATATCAATATATAACATCAGTAAAAGTTTGAGTAAGGTAAAATTAGTAATTGAGCAGAAAATACCGAGACTTGTCAACTTAAAATCCTAGCATGAGGGTCCCTGGTTCAGTGACCAGAACAAATTTTCATTCAGCATTAACTGTTAGCTTAAACTATTGGAAATTTCATGGAGAAGAAACATTGGTTGAAGAATGCATTGAATAAAACATTGGTGTAAAGAAAAATAGTGAATGTCAAAATAGAAGCAAAACAAGTTCAAAGGTTCAAAGTGTGAGATATAACAAAAGACAAAACCCAAAAATCGAGTCAGGACAATTTTATACTAGAATTTTTACTAGGAGAAACTTCAGTTGAAAAATGCATTGAATATAAAATTGGTGTAAAGCGATATTTTGGATGTCAAAATTAAAGCAAAACAACTTCAAAGTCAAGACTTAAAATAAAAGACAAATCTAGTACTACTAAAATTTACTTAAAAATAAAATGAAGATCACCAAGCACGCATAATGTTTGGAGGAAACCTTCCATGGAGAATAAAATTATCAATTGATAACAATTTCATGAGTTTTAATTAACTTAAATTAGATATGTTTCATATATTACAACCAAAAACAATCTATTATTTATCATTTATATAAGCAATTTGACATCAATTAGAAGTTTCTACCTCGTGGACAAAGACATTATTGGGCAGCTTCTCTGCCTCGGTGGATGTAACTGCGCCAATAGATTTTGAACATTGAGTATCCTGATGAAAGAATGTTGAAGAAGTAGTTAGTAAAGCACGATAAGGGTAGGATGCATTTGATGACACTGAATTTTCATCTATGTTTCACCATATGTTCTATAAATCACCAGAACATGCCATTTGTATGGCAGAAAACACTGTTTGATACTGATTAAATGAAAACCCTCTAACATTTGATGGAATTAGCCAAAGAACTTTTACCTTACGAATTTTCAGGACCTCAAGCCCAATATCAGAACGCCTAACATTGTAACCACGGGCCAATGCTTGGACTTTAACGATTCTCTTCACACAATATAAAGCCGAAACAGCTTGTCTTCTAACCAAGTGACCACGAATAAGAGCTTGCAGCTGTGTGATAGCTTTTTGTGTTTGAAATTCCAAGCGAGCCTTCAATAAAGTTATGCAAGAAAGAATCACTTAAAGTATTTGTCAACCATAAATCATACAGAAAGAAACTTTCCAAATTGAGAATCAATGAGTACATGTACAGCAATCTTGACCAAATATCACATGACAGTATCTTCAAACATTTCTACACTATCGTACTGATACTTGCAATGTTCGTGAAAATTTTCAAATAATTATAACTGAAACAAATTGGCTAGCATAACATAAATATCCTAACTACAAAGGAGTATTACCCGATAGCCTCTACAAGCAGCCTGAAGTTTAATAGCTGCATCTGTAAGCGTGAGAGTCTCAAGATCAACTTGAGATGCAAAATTAGCAACAGGAGGTGCCTGAGCCTCTTCCACACCACTTGAGACAATTTCCCTCTCGTGTGATGACGACCTATTAACTACTTCCTTTTCCGAAAACAATCCTTTGGCAACATTAGCTCCAGATATCGGCGGTGATATTAGCAAAGAATCCACAGTTGGAATTGGATTAGACACAGTCAACTCAGAAAACCCCAAACTATCCTTGTTACTCAAAGATTTCTATATTCACAAATCAAAACAACAATTAAAACTTGAGTAATTCAAACTTCAAACACAAAACCTATAGAGAGCAATTATGACAATTTCTTCATATCAGAATCATAAGCAAAAATGCATAACAACGACGGAAACACTTACAAAAACATCATCCTTCTTCGACGAACTAGACTTCGACGATGACTTCTTCCCTGAGAACAAGTTCTTAATCCACTTCCCAGGACTTCTTCCTTTCCCCATCACTTCAGCAATTGAAGCTTTGCAAAACACAGAACTCCAGCATCAAAAAATACTGTGAAGAAATTGAAAAAACCAAAACCAAAATCAAAAAGTCAAAAAAAAAAAAAATTAAACTGAAACCCTAGAATTAAAATAGCAAACAACAAAAACAAGTAAGAAAAGTGAAACCCTAGATGGAAGTAGTAAGAGAGAAGATTCAAACTAACAATAGAAGAAAATCCAGTACCTGAAAAAGTGAGGCTTGATTGGAATCCAATGGTGAAGAAATGAAAAAAAGATAGATTTGAGTAGTGATTATAATAATAGTTAGAAGAAAGAAAGAAAGTTTCTGATTTTGGTTTGAGTGGGAAAAGAGTGACAGAGCATGTGGAAGAAAGAGAAAGGCTGAAGTTGAAAACTGAAAAACAGCGTCATAGATTCCCTCCTACGAGGTTTCCACAACAACAAAATAGATTCTCTATTTTTCTTTTACAATAATAATAATAATAATTAGTAATAATAACTTCCTCAATTATTTACTAATATGTTGTTTGTCTTTTTTTACATATATTAAGAAATATAGTTAATTATATGTAAACAAAATTAATTTATTTTACAAAATAAGTACTTCATTAATAATATGGGAAGAATAAATTTAAAATTTAAAAGGAAGAAGAAATGTTAAGGATGTAAAAGATATAGTAGCATTAATGATTTATTATATTGTGAAATAATTATTATTTTATTTTTAAAAATATAAAAAAGACACCTAATTAAAAATTAGAGAGAGTATTATTTTACTAGGATAAATTACTTAGAAAAAAATTAATGTATGTTAACTATGAAAATTAATGTATAAATTTAAAAAAAAATTAATAATTTAAATAAAATAGAATATCAAAAATAAATAATACAATATACTTCATTAAAAAAATCTGAATTGAACTATTATAAACAAGTTTTAATAAACAACAACAAACAATATCAATTTTAACGACAATCAATACGAGTTGGACATCATGACTATGTTTGAAAGAAACGACGAGATGATGGTGAGGTGTGGTTGAAAGAAAACTATAACGAAGTGACAAAACTGACTCCGATTCTTTGGTTCGAATGGTTTTGGACGGTTCAATTTAATTTTTTCGATTTTATTTTGATTTTGACCCATAACAGTTTTAAAAAGTTAATCCAACTGAATTCATTTCTAGTTCTCGGTCCAACCAGTTAAATCGGTCGGTTCGATTCAATTTTAAAAATATTTGTTTAATGTGATGCAAATACAATCGAATGGAAGCTTAACCAACTAGTTGTATTTTATTTTGATAATTCTAATTTATTTTCACTGTACAAAGTTTGAAGAAGTGTTCCATAAGTTTTCTATGTTTTCTGCACTGCCTCATACTATTTGTTGCGTTACTAATATCATACATTATTTGTTGTGCCATTAATATCATATCTTATCATGCTTTTTAAATTTTTTTAATTTATGAAATTCAATGTCACATGAATTAAAAGATTATAGAATTTTATTACTTTTATTTTATTTATAATTTGTAAAGCAAAATCTCACATTTGTTATTTTTTTTTATTACTATCTAACAAAATATATTTTTTATTAATTATAAGATATGAGGCTCTTTTTAATTTATACCGGATTCAAATAATATAGTAAATTTTATATAAATTTTAAATAATAAAAAAAGTTTGTTAAAATTTATGTGTCAAAAAAGAGAATGTTCTTAATATTATTTAACTTACATTTTATTTTATTTTTTATTTTTTATATTTTTACTTTTTTGAGTGATTACTCTTTTCTCTTTTTCAAATACCAAACAAATACATAATTATTTTATGTTGTTTATATCAATATTTTTTTATTAATTAAATTGATATTTGTAGTAATTTTATAATCATCATTGATAAATTTAAACTTTGTATTTTAAAATTATAATATTTAAACTCTTATTTTTCTATTAAAACAAATTACTTTACAATATTTTGCCCCCATTAAATAAAAAATTTGAATCTGCCACTAACTGACCGTGTAAAATAATGTTACATTATCATCTAATAAAAATATATCATTATATTATATCATATAAATTAATTTAAAATTTTCAATCTCACTTAACGGGATGCATAGTCGTCATATTGATTGAAAATAGTTTTATTTATTTATTTTAATTATTTAATTTGTTTCACTTTTGTAATATTAATTTTAGTATATAATATGTTATATATTATATTAATATATTTTTTATTAAAATTATTATAATAATAAAAAAAATATAATTTCAAACCGAATTAAACCTAAATAATTTATTTTTAAATTAGATGAAATTTTATCTCAAAATTGTTTTAAATCATACCACAAACTTCTTTATATTAAACAAATCTCAAAATCGTGATTTAATTTTAATCTATTTATCATAATTAAACATGATAATAATAAATGAGTAAATTAATTAAATAAAAACAAAAATAGATTAAACAAACCTCAAAGTTGTGATTTGATTTTAAACTATTTATCATAATTGAACATGATAATAATAAATGAGTAAATTAATTAAATAAAACAAAAATACACTGCTCAACCAACCCCACAATTCAATAAATAAAGAACACCCCACAACCTTCCACGTTCATTATTTTCTTGTATGTGTATATATATTTTTTTTAAATACGAATACTTTAATAGTAAGAGACAAAGCTCCCATGTTTACGATTTTTCACATTAATAAAAATCCACATTTGATTCCAAAGGTTCCAAACATCATTTTAGGCTTTTAGCTATATTATTGAAACTAAGCAAGACAATAGCAATGTCTGTCCATTTATTACTATACGGCGTTCCATTTATTACATGCGGCTTTCGTATCTTCTTGGGTATGGGTAACAGACTGTTAAAAAAATTGTATTAAAAACAATAAAAAGATTAGTTACAAATTATTAATAAAGCATTGCAAAATTTTCAAAAAAAAAAATCATATTTAATTCTTAACATATGTTTTTAAAAGAAGAGTTTTTAATTTTTTTTTTCAGTTCACTTTAATAAAAAAATTATGGTTGATAAATGTTATTTAATTTTTAATTTGTAGTTTTTTATACTAGTTTATATTTTTTTCTTAAAAATTATTTAAAATATATTTTTAGTTTATACAGCTTGTGACTTCATATCCTTATTATTTAAAATATATATATATATATATATTCTTGCCTTAAATGGATACCATTCCATATATATATATATCAACATTTAAATTACATACCCTCATGATTAATTTTAAGATAATGTTGATAATTTTCAAGTTAGTGAAACATTAAAAAAATTCAAGGAGTTCAACAAAGACGAAGGAATTTCATAAAAGTATTGGAGTTTTATCGTAAAATTTGGCACAAGTTAAGAGATAAATGTAAAAAAAAATGTTGATTTGTTATGTCTATTGGATCTATCCATAACATTATGATTTCTATTGATATAGAAATCAAGAACAGAACTCTAAACAAATTCCTATGAGTAGATCGACTCATATTCCTTATACTCATACCTGAATATAGTTATAAGAATGAAAGCGCAAGCGTACTTGAGTTTGTCATTGGAAATAGTTGAAGATTATTGGGTATGCGATCTTTCAATTATAGAGTTTCTTATGACTCCTTGAATCTTCTTTAATGGAGATGAAGAGAAAATTTTCTTGATGAGCCATTTTCATGTTGTCTTGCATGGACTTATACTCCTTTAAGTTGGAATCCTACATGACTTAGTGGAATTTAATTGGATCATCTTTCGTCATACCATTATTTTTCTCATGTTCTTGGAGAAAGATTATGTAATCATCTGGAATAGCATTTCTCCTTTCTCTAGTGGATCTTTGCAAAGATATTGGTTCTTGTAACACTCGTTCTTGAGGATTTTCATATTGTTCTTCATGAATTACCAAATCATCTTGAGTAGGAGAAAAGTCAACAATGTTTTATGGAGGTTCCATAGTTGTTTGATTAAAAGCAACTGTATGAATCGATTCTCAAATTGTTACTAATTCTTCCTCTGAAGCAAAGTCTTTAACCTTATTCTTCTGCCCAAACTCAATGCCCTCAAAGAATGTAGTTGTTCTCGTCTTAAATTGAATTTAATCTGGGATCGTAAAAGTTATAGCCCCTAGATCATTAGTTGCTCACTGTTCGGGAGTCCAATTTCTTTTCATTTGGCCTATAAGGCTGAAATTCTGGTATACAGATCTCAATGTCCCAAGAGATGTCAAGACATTGATCTCTGCATAACTAAACAAGGACATAACAGAACATACCAGAATAAACTGATGTCAAAATAAAAACAGTGTAACGACAGATGTTTCAACATCTGTTAAGACATGTATTTTACAGCAAGAAACAAAACTGAAATATTTATAACAGAATGATAAATAACGCCAAGATATGATGACCCAGTTCGGTGAACAACAATACCTACAGGGCTACCAAGTCAAAAATGAATCCACTATTAGTAGTATTAATTTAGAGCTAAACTCTCTCGTTTACAACTTCTCGCTTAATCTCTACTGAGTGCAACTTCTATGTAGAACTCACCATCTAGACAAGAGAAACCCATCTCAATTCCTAAATCACCTCAGTGATATCTAACAGTCACAACCTCTGATGACTGTATCAAACTATTCAATTGAAAGACACCCCTCTTAACACAATATTCAGTCAAGACTCTTGACTAACAATAATGCTTGAATTTGCTTAATAGCTTCATTCAAGAACAATATACAATTCATTACCTACAAGCTTCTGAATATCAAAACTATGTCTACCACAATGTATCTACTGATACAAAGGGTGACTTACAACAGAAGAAAGTACACGACTCTCAAAATCCTAAACCCTTATAATTAAAATACAAGAATTTGTTACAAGGTCTCCTCATGCCCTAGATCATGCTCTTCCTTTTATAGCCTTCAGCAGTCCATGGGCTTCGAAGTCTCTGTCCAATCTTTCCTTGATCCACGTTCTGATTC